GATTTTCCCAGTTGTTTTTAATGGTTATTTAGTTTTGAAAAAATACTGTTGTGCCATGTATTTTTACATGATATAAACAGTGTGGGAACAGCAAGTGATATTATAGTTCTATTTGTTTTATATTAGCATTCATGTTTTTTTCTATACATAGATCATACATGTTCTTTTATTCTGCTTGGGGCATCAACTAATGAAAATAAATGATGCATGGCTGCTTCTTCACTCATTGATTTAAATGTTCTGTATGCTTTTATCAGTAGACTGTTATCTCTTGACCCTTTGGTAGTTATTTGCACCAACAAAACTGCAATTTTCCTTGTAAAGGATGAATTTCCCTTCTCAGATTTATGGTTGTGTTTTGTTTTTGTTTTTTGTTTCAGTGTTTCAGCTAAAAATGTCCCCTTCAGTTACCAGTATAAAGTTAGCAAATCATCAGAGGATTTCTGTAAATAAAGAGGTTTAAACAAATGTAGAGTCTTTACCTGTATAGACGGTAGAAAGGAGCGGAAAATTAGCAGTCTAGAGCAAAAATGAGATAGTGTCTCTCATTTTCTGGACATGAGTAACAGTTGTTCATAACAAAATGTGTTTTGTCTAGTGGGCCTGATTTAGCCATCCTCTCCTATTTTCAGGTTTTCTCTGGCAGAAAAGTTTCTTCAGGGGTGGAAAGAGGCAAGTTAATAATTTTTTTGTAAATGTCTAGAATCCTAATGGGGAGTCACTTTGGTGATAGTTTTATGTATGGTTTGTATAAATGGATGGTAAATGGTAAAACGAAGATACTAGGACATGTTCAGTTTCAGTACCTTCATGGCAAGAATAATTTGGGGTAGATCACTCTTTTCTAACAATGCTTTCATGGGTATTAATAGATTATTATTTTTATTATTATTCTGTCCTGGGTTTTAGCTGGAACAGAGCTGGGTTTCTTTTTCAGTAGTTAGAATAGTGCTGCATTTTGCTTTTCAGCCTGGGACTTGTTATGAGAGAGACACTGATAACACAGCAGTGTTTGCATTTTTTTTTACTGGAAGTGAAGGACTTCGTGTTTTGTCAGTCTGCAAGCGCAAGATCTAAGGGGGTGAGGAGTATTTAAATTAATAAGCTAAATTGGCATTTGGATATGCCAATGGGATATTCTATATCATATCATGTCATGTCCCGTATATTAGTGAGGGGCTCTTCCTCTTTTAGCTCTCTGGCTTTTGCTCGGGCTCTCGCTCTTCAGGGATTGTGGTTTCGGTTCGGGATTGTCACTCCTCGGGGATCGTTATCTGGGAACAGGCTGGGCTCAGTTGGCGGGTGGTGAGCAGTTGCACTGTGCATCACTCATTTGTATATTTTGTTACTGTTATCATTATCTCTACTATTTTAATATTAATATTATTTTAAGTTTTCTTTTATGTCTGTTATTAAACTGTTCTTATCTCAACCTTCAAGCCTCCTTATCCTTGCCCCCCAATCCTCTCCCCTATCCCCTGGGGGTAAGGGGGAAGTGGGTGAACAGCTGTGTTGGCTGCTAGCCAAGGGCTAGCCCAGTGAAACTATCACATATTCTATTAGGGTAATAGGGAAAATTTTGTGTTTTATTTCTAACTGGTTTCTCTCACTTTTTCTTTACTTTTCAACACTATTCTTTTACACACAAAATTTTTGAATGGAGGTAGAGCTCGTGCTTGCACCTTTATTCAACAACCTGTTTTTCTTTTTTTATACACTTTTATGTTACAAAATTTCAATTTTATTCTAAAAATACCATTTACATTCTGAATTATGAAATCCATAAGGCCTGTCTGCTAGCTTGAGCATTCTTTAAAATATGGTTGGTTTGGGTTTTTTTTCCCTTTTAACCCACTGGTCAATTTTCTGAGTGTAATGTCTGAAAAGTGAGTGCTTTTTGCTCCAAAGCTAAAGTAGACAGTTGGAATGTTTAAATGTGCCATATTTCCTGAACACAGGTACTCAACTTTAAAGTCAAATGCACAGCTGAAATGGAAACTCATTTAACACTAGATTTATTTATTGGATTTCCTTATTAAATGAGATGAGGAAAAGGTTGATAATTTACTCAGCAGCATATTTTGTGGAAATGTTTTATAAGTGACAAAACAATATCAGAGCTTCATCTATCTGTAAAGTGTTACAAATCAGAAAGCCATAAAATATGTGATATTCCACAGACTTCGTTGTGAATTCTAGAGCTGTAAGTCACCAGGTCTCTTCTATCAATTACTCTGCAAAAGGACACTTTCTAGAATAAAGTGAAGTAAAAAGTGTTAGGCTATCTAAGTGCAGTCAGTTACCTGAGAGACATCTGACCTATACCAGAATGTTTCATGATGTATGCAATTATCTGCAATCTATTCAATGATAACTTTCTATTTGAAAAAAGTAGATTTCTTCAGAATCCAGTGAAACAGGTAGTAAAATTGTAGTTAGTGACTTTATTCTCCTGAAGTACCAGCTAGATTACCTAGTCTAGTAAACAGATTACCTTAGTTTGGTTATTAGTTTATTACCTAGTGCTTTAGAAAGAGCAAAGCAAAAGATACAAGTGGTTGAAAACATTATGGTGAACTTCACAGTATTGCACGATGGCTATGTGAAGGTGATACTATATACAGCTGAATCTGAAGGAATCAAGGCAATTGTTTATAGGCAATAAACTTCCAAGTAAAACTCTGTATGGGACTTCGCTGAGTAAGATTTACAATATCACAGATTATTTTGTAGAAATAAATTATGTAACAGTAATAGAGCTGTTTTTTTCTTCCCTTGTTTTTTCTGTCAGGATCATGCTTTTGCTTTAATACTCTTATATGGTACTTTATGGGTTTCTATTTCTTTGAATAAGGCCTATTCTGAAAAGTCTTTGGTTTTCTGTACCAAATAGGATATTATGTGTTAATTTTAAAGTTGTATCTTTTTGTTAGTTCTCTTTGGTTTATCTTTTTGCTTCAGTTATTAAAGCTTTTGGAAATAAGAGTACTCATCCTTTTTAGCTTCTTCTGTTTTATTGCATGTTACCAACTGGAGTGCCTCATGCAAAACTAGTGAGTCTTTTGAAATGAACAGAAAGATTTAATCCAGGCACAACTAATCCAAGGAAATCTCACAAATGAGTAGGCTTCATTTTTATGTAATCTGCTTTATGATTACTTTTACTGAAAAGAAGTAATATCTTTTTGAAGGAAAACTACCAAAAATGTAATGTGTGTTTTAGCAGAAGAAAAATTATAGTGTTAATTGATTCATTGGTATTTTCGTGATAAACAAACTTGTAATCTTTTCTTCACATTTGTGCTTACAAATTCTGAGAATAGGAGTGAAAACCTAATTTTTTTTTTTTTTTTTTTAAGGATTTATAGGGTCAAATAAATTTGGATTACTCAGAACTGTTCATGATTTATGCTGATCAAATCTTCTTTTGTACTCAAAACTTCTGATGACTAGCTCTGCCTTACAAGGAGCTCCAAGGGGCATCTTCTGCTAATTTTTAAGATGGAAGATCTGACAGGCAAAATGTAATTTTCCTTTATTCTTGTAGTTCACTCCTTCCTTTCCCTTGTATATCTATCTCTACTCTTATTTATGGTCTTACTGATTTGTCAAAATGTTACTAGATGAGCTAATTTTTTTACTTCATTCTGTTTTTCTAAAAAGTCCTAGAAAAGCCACCTTTTCTCCTTGCTCAGTTACTCTTCTACAGTATTTGAGTTTTATCCTTGCCTTGCCTGTCTCTCTTCTCCATTTCTATATATTTTAAGCTAGTTTATTCTTCCCTTCCACAATGGACCCTTATCAGTTTATATACCCTTTCACTAACTGATGTGTGTTTTATCAGAGGTCTCACACCTTCCAGTTTTCTGAACTTAATTTCTCTCATTTCGTGCCCCTTCTTCACTTTCTGTCTCTGTTTCTTTCTGTCCCCCTCTCTGTCCTTCCCATCTTCTGTCAGCACTCAGCTTCTGTGCAACTTGTAATATTCCAGTTTTCTCCACTCTTTTTTTAGCTCTTGTTTGATATAGGCCTCTTCCACAGTTTCCTTCAACAGGGAACTGAAGACTTAAAACAAGATGGATTGTTGCATTGATCCTGATATGCTGTAGATTTAGCAATCCAACTAGAGCGTGGTCTCTGAACCTACGTAACTTAGGTCACTAAAAAGTCTCTGCTAAGCATGCATGACATCAGGTTTACTTGATTTTCATAGGAATAGTTAGATTAATGTACTTGAGGCCCATCTTCTAATATATCTCATAGCCTACTTTTAAATAATTCAAATCATTCACGTGATAGAATGCTTTAATGCAAAAGAAAAGCCAGACACAAGAATCTTTTTTTTTTTTATTTTTTTTTTTTTCTTTCTTATACACTTATAGTTCAGCCAAAATAGTTTTGGAGATCTCAATCTTGAAAGGAACTAAAAAAATTGATCTTAAAACAGAATGTGCCTAGACGGGTTTATAAGACAGTGCACTTCTGCTGTCTGTAGCAAAATATAAAACTTATATTTATTTAAATTCAATATGATACATATTTGTAAGGAAGTTCTGAACATATTTCTGTCTTTAGCTCCATTTTTCTTTCTTCTTAATATTTGAGTGACTGACGATATCTTGCTGTGATTTTTACGAAATAGAATAAATATAATGCTGCATTTACCAAAGCTTCCAATTTTTAATGAAAGTTAAATAGTTGCTGTATTAGTATCTTATATTTAGACAGTCAGACTTACTCTACTCGTCTGCCTTCTGTAGCAGTCTGTTTCATTTCATTTTATATATCCTTTCTCTTTAAGACCACATTAAGTTATTTTTTTTAAGTACTTAAAATCTACTTGTCTCCATAGAAGACTAAATTGTGCAATACGCTACGTAAAGATGCCTTCAGCCTTCTGTGTTAGTCCACAGGAGCCCTGAGGAAGCAAAAGCAGAATATAGGTACAAAATACTTGAAGTTTAAGCTTAGACATTTCTCATCTTTGTCCTCAATTACAGAATCTTTTGGCTGAGAAGGTGGAACAGCTGATGGAGTGGAGCTCAAGGCGCTCAGTCATCCGCATGAATGGAGACAAATTCCGAAGATTTGTGAAGGCTCCACCTCGTAACTACTCTGTGATAGTGATGTTCACTGCTCTCCAGCCACAGCGACAGTGCTCTGTTTGCAGGTAATTTATAACTTCGTGATGTTTTTCATCTTCCTCTCCACAGTTTTCAAGTGAATGTTTTAATCAATGTGCAATGCACTGAGTAGGATTGTTCTTTGCATGGGACAGCTGCTTACTATTTAACAGGCTCATGTGTTTGTTACAGCATCTTTTCAACTGCCTTTTAATCTATGTCATATTTTAGAAGTCATTCTAGTTTTGGGTTTTATGAAATTAAAGTTGAATAAAATGTCCAAAACTGAGGAAGACTTTCTCTTTAAGGAGGCTGCTTTGTTTTATTATCAGTTGACCATGATCTTTCCAAAGATGTTTTGTGACAGAACGTGACCCATTTAATAATATGACACTTCACTGATTTCTTCAGTTAAGAGACCTACAAGGCTCTGATGCAGATGTGAGCTACCCTGTGATCTCACAGCTTTAAACAGTTTTTACATGTAAGCACCCTTTTCCATGCGGACATACTTATTGTGGAATACTGTCTGGCACTGCACTTTGATGTGTTCTGGTGACTCCTTTTAGAACACGTTTTAGAGTGACTCTGGTATTCTTCTAATTTCAAGATCTTTCTCTGCAAGTTCCTAGTTCAGTAAATTAATCCAAAAATGACTAATGATAGACATGTAAATAGGGCCAAGGGACTGAAAGGTAGTCATACACTTAATTCATAGAATGAATCATAGAATCATAGAATGGTTTGGATTGGAAGGGACCTCAAAGATCATCTAGTTCCAATCCCCCTGCCATCAGCAGGGACACCTTCCACTAGATCAGGTTGCTCAAAGCCTCATCCAGCCTGGTCTTAAACACTTCCAGGGAGGGGGCATCAACAACTTCCTTGGGCAACCTGTTCCAGTGTCTGACCATCCTTACAGTAAATAACTTCTTCCTAATATCTAATCTAAACCTCCCCTCTTTCAGTTTAAACCCATTTCCCCTTGTCTTGTCATTAGTTGCCCTTATGAAAAGTCCCTCCCCAGCTTTCTTGTAGGCCCCCTTCAGGTATTGGAAGGCCGCTATAAGATCTCCCCAGAGCCTTCTCATTTCCAGGCTGAACAGCCCCAACTCTTTCAGCCTGTCTTCATAGGAGAGGTGCTCCAGCCCTCGGATCATCCTGGTGGCCCTTCTCTGGACTTGTTCTAACTGGTCCATGTCTTTCTTATGTTGAGGGCTCCAGAACTGGACGCAGTACTCCAGGTGGGGCCTTACAAGAGCGGAGTAGAGGGGGAGAATCACCTCCCTCGACCTGCTGGACACGCTTCTCTTGATGCAGCCCAGGATACGGTTGGCCTTCTGGGCTGCAAGCGCACATTGTTCTGCTCGTGTTTAATTACCTTATTAAAACAGAAACTGAGCTAATGTCCTGGTTTTTGCTAGGGTAGAGTTAACTTTCTTCTTAGTAGCT